ACACTGGTAACAGTCACCCTCCTCACTAATAGTCATAGCATATATGGCAGCAAGTATAGCATCAAAGTCAAGATCAAAGATAGCTACTCCTGCCCTAGACAACTGGTCCCAGCGAGGGATCTCAGAGGCGTCAGGAAACTGGTGGCGCCAAGCGTCAGTCAGGCGGCCGAAGCAGCGCTGGGCGGAGTGTGGACCACCACACGGCTCACCCGCACGGTTGCCAGTGCGCAAGACGTAGGTGCACGGACCAGTACCCCCACCCCTCTGACGTGCAGCGTACCACTCACGGAGCTGCTGTGGGGAGAGGGTCTCCTGACCACGCTGCTGCCGCTGCTGCTGGCGCTGACCGCCACCGGAGCCACTCCTCTGCGACGAGCCACGACCTCCTCCGCCGCCTCCTCCGCCGCCGCCGCCACCACCTCCGCTGCCACCGCCACTCCCACCGTCGCTGCCGCCACTGCCGCCTCTGCCTCCACTCCCACCACCACCGCCGCTGCCACCCCCGCCTCCACTGCCGCCGCTGACACCTCCACTCCCGCCACCACTCCCGCTACCACCCCCACCTCCTCCGCTGCCTCCACCGCCGCCTCCACCGCCCCCGCCGCCGCCACCACCGCTCCTGCCCCCCTTGCCCTTGCCAGAGCGACGTCTCCCACTGGGGGCAGACGCCGCATCGACCGACTCAAAACCAACTAGGTCGGCCGTAGCAGCAGAGGCGACAGAGGGCAGGAGGGGGGAGGGGGAACACCCCTCAAAGATGGGGGTGCGCGGGTCACCACGAGAGGCCCCTACAGCGAGAATGCTCTTCTCAGCTGCTAGGAGGGACTTCTCGAGGAGGTCAACAGTGAGAGTGGTGGGGCAGACTGAGAGTAAGTCGTCCCTGACTCCGCGAAGGGAGTCAGGGAGGCGGGCGACAATGTAGTAGAGAGTGAAGTACTGGGGGGGGGGGTTCTTGGCGCAGAACTCAGCAGGAAGCGCAGCGCGGAAGCGAGCATCACTAGTGCGCAGGTGGGTAATGAGGTCGGCGACTGTGGCAAAAGAAGCAAGGTCGGGAAAGAGGTACGGTAGCATGAGGCGGCTCAGTGCAGCAGTGGCAGGGGTGGAGTAGCGTGCAATAACGGCGTCGTACAAGGTCTGAGCACTCTTGTACGACCCAAAGTGTGCACGCTCAGAGGGAGGGAGGTGGCGACGCACAGCAAGACGTGCAGCAGCATCGCGTGTGGCCCACTGTGAGCGAACAGTGGCATCCTCAGTAGCAGCAGGGGTGGGAGAGGCACCAGAAGTGAGATCAAAGAGAGAGAGGCCGTCAGCTCTGTCGCACTGTAGGAAAAGCAGCAGGTCGTCTACCCACACGTCAAAGTCGATGGCTCTGCCCTCAGCGTCGAAGGTGAGGACACTGGGGGTAGCCATGACAGCAGTAGGGTGAGGGCAGTGCGCAGAGTAAAGCTCAGTGCTCACCAGACAGGGCAGTGCAGACGGCTCGGGCGGCTCGGGCGGCTCGGGCGGCTCGGCGGCTCGGCTGCTGGGCGGCTCGGGCGGCTCGGCGGCTCGGGCGGCTCGGGCGGCTCGGCTGCTGGGGCGGCTCGGCTGCTGGGGCGGCGCAGTTGCTGGGGCGGCGAGGCCGGGAGATGCAGCTGCGGGGCCGTTAGGGGTAGTGGCGGGGCCGGTAGGTGAAGCGGCGGGGCCGTCAGGTACAGCAGCGGGGCCGGCAGGTGAGACAGCGGGGCCTGCAGATGAGGCGGCGGGGCCGGCAGGTGCAGCAGCGAGGCCGTTAGGGGTAGCGGCGGGGCCGGTAGGTGCAGTGGCGGGGCCGTCAGAGGGGACGGCGGGGCCGTTAGGTGCAGCGGCGGGGCCGTCAGAGGGGACGGCGGGGCCGTCAGGTGCACCGGCGGGGCCGTCTGAAGCAGCGGCGGGGCCGGCAGAGGGGACAGCGGGGCCGTCGGGTGCAGCGGCGGGGCCGGCAGAGGGGACGGCGGGACCGTCAAGTGCAGCGGCGGGGCCGGCAGAGGGGACGGCGGGGCCGTCAAGTGCAGTGGAGGGGCCGGTAGAGGGGACGGCGGGGCCGTCGCAGGCGATCGCGGGGCCGTCAGAGACGGCGCCGGCGTCGCGAGGGTCAGAGGGGGCGGCGCGCGACTGGAGGGCGGCACGCGCGACGCGGCGCGGCCGTCTAGGGGCGGCGCGACAAGGCCGCGTAGGTGGCGCGCCAAAAAAAAAATCGCGGGCGGCTCGACGCGATCGGGCCGCCAAAGGAAAAAAAAAGGCCCAGCGCGACTCGCGCTAGGGCAGAGCGCGCTCCGGGCAGGACGGAATAGTAGGTGGGCCCTAGGAACAGTTCCCACTAGGGAACCTGCTCGATACCATGTTGAGATAGAGGCGAGGAATGAGTGCACTATGAAATGAAACAAGTACAAGTACCAACCCTAATTGGGTTGTACCCCCTATGGGCTACCCCACTACAGCCTAAATATATGCATCAGTAATATAATCATCTGACATGGGGTATTAAGGGATAGTCTAAACGACAAGTTTCCCTAAGCCTAACTGCCCAGATGAAGTGTAAAAAAAAAACCCGTAAAGCCAGGCATATCTCAACCTTCTCGACTTGGGCGTTGTTTGTGGGAGGAGCTGTGCGTTGTGGGGCCTTTTTTTTGTTTTCGTTAACATTTTTCCTGGCCTTTTTTTCCGCGGCCCAGTGACATCCGGGGGAACCCTCGACGAGGAACAGTTCCCTTCAATGGGCTGTTGGGGTGGTGGTTTTCGGCCATGTTGGCCGTTGTATTTGGTTAATTGAGCCGGCAGTGGGTCGGTCACAATAATTACACTGCCGGCGAGGCTAAACCACTTGCATTTTGTCGTGATGCTGAACCATTTGGGCGACAAAGCCAAACCAAATGGTTGCATCGTGGGGGCCCAAAGTGCTATCGAACAGGGCCTTTATTACCCTATCCTAGGGGACCGAGAGGCATTCTTCCTCTTCCCCAAAGCTAGGCCTACGGCCATACTTTATTACCCTATCCTAGGGGACCGAGAGGCATTCTTCCTCTTCCCCAAAGCTAGGCCTACGGCCATACTTTATTACCCTATCCTAGGGGACCGAGAGGCATTCTTCTTCTTCCCCAAAGCTAGGCCTATGGCCACATTCTACCCCTATCCTAGGGCTGGCCATGGCCACCGCAAGCCCTACTAGGCTGCCCACGGTCTAAGCACTCAAGAGTGCACCGTGCATCGCGCCTAGTGGCGCGTTTCACCATAGCCTGAACCCTATACAACCGGTGCGGGTCCTTGGCCCCCATGCCCATTCCGAGGGCAGCCATTGGCGACGTGGCCTGGCTGGCCGCAGCGGAAACACGAACCACGAAAGCCTTGGAAGTTGCCCGAGGTCGGAGGGCCACGTTTTGGGGCGAACGCCATGGCGCCGTGGTTTCCACCATGGTGGGAGCGAGCGTGACCGCCCGCCGCTCGGTCCATGGCAGCCACGTCCGCGACAGCTTGCTTGAACGGCCGCGAGGTGAGAAGACGTTTTTGCAGGTACATTTTGTAGCGCTTGGCAACGCGGCCGTCGGAGGCGTCTTCGACTTGAAACATGTCGAAGCGCGCGGAAATGTCGTCGAGGGCGGTGACGACCATTTCGAGTCCGCCCGCCAAGTCGCCCTGCTGCAGCTTGTACTCTGCGTGTTTCAGGTAAGCCCGCATGTCCTACAGAATTTCCGCTTTCGCCCGCACGTGCGCGTCGTTGAACGTCGCTGCTGACCAAGTGGTGTTAGTAGTAGAGGGGAGGGGGGGGAAGATGCTCCATGGAATTAAAATTTGTGGTATGGAACGGAGCCTCACAATCATCGTCGTCGGAGTCGTCAGTGTCATTATCGGCCGCTGGCGCAGGTGGGATGCTGGCCGGTGCTTCCTTGTCGTGCTGGTTCGCCGTTGTTCCTCGCGCTCCTTTTTCTCTTTTTGCGTTTTCATGTTTAGAAGATGCAGAGGCCGCGGGTTGTGCAATTTCCGTAGCTGTAACGCTGGCGGGCTGCTGCTGTAACAGGGACAGAAGCGCGGCGACCTGGTCCGGAGTCAACGTGTTGGTCAACGCCGGGTTGTCGCGTCAGAGGAAGTCGCTGTTCGGCGCCTCTGGCGCTGACGCGACGGTCCAGCCACAGGCGCCGGCGTGTGCTCCTCGTCAGGCATGTGTAGCGCCACAGCTGCTGCAGGTGCCGCCGTCGCCACTTGCGCCACACGCGCCTCAGGCGCCACAGGCGCCACAGGGGCCGAGGGGTGCTGCTGCTGGGGCGGGCTCGAGTTTTTGTTGACCTCGAGCCCGCCCAACAGCACGTCCACGACAGTTGGGGCGGGCGATCCTTCCTCTGCCCCCCGCTTGTTACGGCGATCGCCCGTCATTTCTCGGGCGTTACGGTCGGTCGGAACTCGGCGCAGACGAATTGCCGCGGTTAAGTGCCGGCGTAGACGCCATTGTAGAGCGATTGTGGTTGAAAATGTCTTGCAGAAGTGTTGAGGGTGACTCGCCTCTAGGAAGAGTGCGAGTTCTAGCCAGCTTGGACGGGGAAAAGAACTACTCGAACGGAAATGTTGATTGACCGTTGGAAAACGAGAAATGTGGGTGGAGGGAATGAAGTCCAACCCACGGTTTTTGTAGTTGGAGAAGGGCGTTTAGCGCGCTTCGACGCTACCAAATATTCAGTACAGGCAGCTTCGCATTCACAATACACAATTTTGAAAAACATCAATTTGTTTAAAAATTATGATATTTACATTATAGCCCCAGATCAAAGTAGCATCTGCGCGGTTCCCCTAATCCCAGTCATTTCGACACCAGGTATCTTTGCATCCATGTAAATGCCATGTGCCACATCGCCTCGTTTTGAGGCGCCTTAAAACCACGTATCTTTGCATCCATGCAATAGCCTTGTGCCACATTGCCTCCGTCACCTCATGCCCCACCCCCTGCTCCACATGGGACTGGCCCAGCTCGCATGCACACGAGTGACTCCCCATCATTGCGCCACTAGGTGTCTCTGCATCCATGCAATAGCCTTGTGCCACATTGCCTCTGTCACCTCATGCCCCACCCCCTGCTCCACATGGGACTGGCCCAGCTCGCATGGCATACAAAGGTGCAGCAGATACAGGAGGGGAGGTGGAGCAAGGGCGTGGTGGGGGCATGAGGTGGAGCAAGGGCGTGGTGGGGGCATGAGGTGGAGCAAGGGCGTGGTGGGGGCATGAGGTGGAGCAAGGGCGTGGTGGGGGCATGAGGTGGAGCAAGGGCGTGGTGGGGGCATGAGGTGGAGCAAGGGCGTGGTGGGGGCATGAGGTGGAGCAAGGGCGTGGTGGGGGCATGAGGTGGAGCAAGGGCGTGGTGGGGGCATGAGGTGGAGCAAGGGCGTGGTGGGGGCATGAGGTGGAGCAAGGGCGTGGTGGGGGCATGAAGTGGAGCAAGGGCGTGGTGGGGGCATGAGGTGGAGCAAGGGCGTGGTGGGGGCATGAGGTGGAGCAAGGGCGTGGTGGGGGCATGAGGTGGAGCACATAAGTGGTGGGTGGGTGAGAATGTGAGAAAGGCAGGACAGCGGGTTGATGGAGGGATGATAGGTCGAGGAAAATCTCAAGCAAAATTCAAGGGATGTTGCAATGCGTAAAAGCTGGGGCGCGAGACACAGCAGCGAGACCCCCACACTTACCTCAAGGTGGTGTGGTGGCACTCAGAGCTCGCAGTTACTAAAGGCCAGAACGAGACCCAGCAGTAATCATAGTGTGTACCTCAAAGTGGTGTGCCAGTCCTGATTTCCTACACATCCTCTCTGCTCGCTGCACTGCTCTCCTCAGCCCCTCACGCGTACTTCGAGGTGCTAGGGTAGAACAGCGCAATGGCTTTTGAGGCGCCTCAAAAGACACCGCAATGCAGCTCCCATGTCAACCTCCAAGTGGTGTGCCACCCCTGCCTTCCTATACGTCGCCTCTGACCCTCTGTTCGTTGCACCGCTCCCCTCAACCCCTCATGTGCACTTCTACAAGCTAGAGTGGAAATTAGCCCCCATGCACGTACCTCAAAGTGGTCCGACACTCCTGCCCGGCTGTACGCCTCCTCTGCTCCCTGCACTGCTCCCTTCAAACCCTCCACGGGACACCTCGGATCGGTCTCCCCTGCCATGTTGTGCCAATGAAGCAGCAGAGAGGCAACCAAGTAAGTGAATGGTGTGAAAGAGAATCATGAGCACTGCTCGCTGCACTGCTCCCCTCAGCTCCTCCACGGGACACCTTGGATCGGTCTCCCCTGCCATGTTGTTTCAACGCAGTAGAGAGGCAAGTGAGTAGGTGATGTGAAAAAGACTCAGCTGGTGTGAAAGGAACTCAAGAGTGCGTGCTCGCTGCACTGCTCCCCTCAGCCACACAAAGGGACACCTCGATCGCTCTCCCCTGCCATCTTGTGTCAATGCAGTAGTGAGTGAGTGAGGGGTGTGAAACAGACTCAGTTTATGTGAAAGACTCTACTTTATTGACGTAAACAGACTCAAGGGTGCCTGTCCCCTCGACAGGACACCTCAGGCCGCTCTCTTCTGCTGTACTGTGTCACTGTGGCAGAGAGGCAGCTGAGAGAGTGGAGTGGTGTGAAATGAATATATCAGCTCCTACCCACAGAAACATCGTGTCCATGCATGCAGCTTAGTCGAAGCGAGTGAATTAGCTCAACATATCTACGCGACATCAAAAGAGCCGAAAGTACCAACAACGAAGTCCCCCAGGGCATTCCGAGCCACGATGCTGAAGCGGTGTTGGGGTGACTTTTTTAGTCGACTCAAAAGTCACTAGGATTTGGCTGAAGCGGTGTTGGGGTGACTTTTTGAGTCGACTCAAAAGTCACTAGGATTTGGCTGAAGCGGTGTTGGGGTGACTTTTTGAGTCGACTCAAAAGTCACTACGATTTTTCTGAAGTGGTGTTGGGGTGACTTTTTGAGTCGACTCAAAAGTCACTACGATTCTGCTGAAGCGGAAGCGGTGTTGGATGTCAACGGCAATCTAGCCAGAACCAGCAAACTACTGCGGATGGCGTACACAGTGGGGCACCTAGACACTCTGGAGGAGAAAGTTTTCCGATTCCAGAACTTGCGAGGCAAGGTGCCAGTCCTGAAATCAGAATGTTTTCTCCTCCAGCGTGTCTAGGTGCCGCATAGTGTACGCCATACCCTCGATCTCTCAACAAAGTGCATGTCGATGCCCGATGACGCTCCCAAGGACGACGTACTCCCAGTTTGCCACTCAGGTTGATGCACGCGAACGCCAAAAAAAAAAAAAAAAACAAAAAAAAAAAAACAAAAAAACAAACGGTTTTGGTTTAAATTAAACCCGACGCTGTAGCATGTCCGTTGAGCTATACAATCCTATGTTGAAACCGGGTATTTATTATGCAGTGGTTTGCGGCAGGATATTTCCCTGCAAAGAGGAACTGAACTAAATCACACGCATACCATTCTGAAAGACCAGTGGCTGGAGGCAGATGGCTGGAAGACAGCTGTGACCAGTGTGTGAATTTGTTACAAGGAGACACGGGCGGAACTGCCCGTCTGAGGGCTGAACAGCAGCAGCAATCAGCGTGTGATTTTGGTTGTGAGGGGAAACGCGCTTACCATTCAGAATGAGCAGCGGACGGGGGCAGATGGCTGGTAGGGAGTTGTGAGGGCCAAACCATTGCAGCAACCCGGGGGTGATGCGGTTCCACACCTGGGCATGGAGGGAAAAGGAGAGAGGATAGAGAGCGGAGGTGAGCGAGCGGAGGTGTTGCAGTCATGACATGAAGATGGCTGGAAACGAGAGAAGATGGTACATTGGGATGGGGATTCCAAGAAAGATATATGTGTTAGTGTTAGCCCTCAATCTCACATTTTGTACTTGCACTTTTATATCCTAGTGTAGTGTGCACTTTGTGTTTGGTTGGGTGTACACCCACATTCCAACCAAACCCAAATTTGATCTCCAAGCAATCTCCAACCCACCAATTGGAGATTGCCTTGGGATTACCCCCAATCCCCTAGGATTGCCCCCGATTCTCTCCCCATCCTTACCTTGCCCATTTCCGATGTACTTAAAGAGCCTTGAGCTCATTACTAATGTATCGATTCTAAACCTCAAGTTCTAACAATGTGGGCAGAGAAAAGGAGGGATGCAGAAAGTGGATATAGGGTTCGAATGCCGAAGGGTATTTGATTACATTGACATGTGCCTCGCACAACAAAGGGTATGAGGTGAGCCAATGATTACAGCGAGCATGGACAATACCAAAGACCAAATGAAAGCTAGGAGACACCCAGCAGACAACCAAAATTGCACAAAGAAGGGGCCTAATGCTGTGACCACTTCAGCATCCACATGTGCCTTCCCTATATCCGCTGCTGCTGCTGTTGAGGTGAGGTGAGGAGAGAAGCAAGCAGGAGTGAATAAACAAGGACGACTGTAAGGACAAAACACTCACTGCTGTGACCACCTCAGCGTCCACGTGTGCCTTCCCCATGTCCTCTGCTGCTGCTGTTGAGGTGAGGTGAGAAAAGCACAAAAGAACGACAAAGATGGTGAGGACATGTTGAAAGCACAAAAGCACAAGCCACGGTGCAGAGTCACGGTGAGGAGAAAAGCAGGCAAGAACGAGAAACAACGAAGATGGAAACCAGGGCAGGGTGTGTAAAATCAGGGCTAGACTGAAGTTACATGATAGAACGCACACACACATAGCCCTGATTTCGTGTGGTAACCAAGTTGAGGGGCTGCAAGCTTGCTTACCCTCAGCCCTTTTACTCACTTACCTGATAAAGGAAAGAGCTAGCACAGCGACGGAAAGACATAACGCAGCGAAAGAGCCAGGAGTTGTTTACCGTTGAAGACATGTGGGATGGAGGCCACTCGGGCGTGGAAGCAGTTGTTGTCCACCGCCCAGCGGAAGCACTGGGGGAGAGAGAGGAGAGGAAAAGAGGAGGGAGAGGAAGGGAAGCGTGCAGTGGGTGAACTCAATTGACGGCCACTCGGGCGTGGAAGCAGGTGTTGTCCACCGCCCAGCAGAAGCACTGGGGGAGGAAGGAGCTACGTTGGCAGATACGCCTTGGGCAGGGTTGCGTACCACATATATACGCTTGCGTATGTACGTGGTACGCTAATACTCTCGTAATTCTTGAAAATACGCCCGGGCAGCCCGCCGAAAAAAAAAATCGAAATTGAAAAATTTCGCGAAGGTTTTGCTACTTCGCGACATGTTACCGCGAAGTCGCACATCGCCCAACCCACTTCTGAAATTCAAATTTCGAGCTCCAAACCTCCCACCACCCCAACCACACACCACCCCACCAAACCTCTCATCTCCAACCATCCCTCTCAAATGTTGTTCAGCAACTCGTCTGCTCATATAATGGATGACGAGTTCCTTTGTGTCATTCAGTTTCCGTGGTCGTTTTCATTCCCGTAGCTCTCTTCTCCCGTTTTTCCTCATGGCGTCTAACTCCACCCCTCCTGCTGCGACGAGCAATGTTGCCTCTGTTCACTGCGGGCAGGGGTGGTGTTGGAAAAGCCCCGCAAGGAACTCGGCTGTGGGGAAGCTAGCTAGAGGGTGGGGTGGGGATGTATGGGGTGGGGAGAAGAGAAGTAGCCCCAAAGATGTATTTCTGGATTTTTATGAAATTAAATAATGACATGTGATGTTGGGAAACATAACCCCCTCCCTGAAACAGGCCCTGCCCGGGAAAAAAGTTTTACCTGCCCGCCCAGCGTATTTTTACGTATCACCAGTACGCCACCCCTGGCGTACCGCGTATATACCCAGCGTATAATACGCTAGCGTATTATACGTGATACTCGTATCTGCCAACGTAGGGAAGGAGGGGGGAGATGCGTGTGGGGATTATGATGAGTGAGCATTATAAGAGGCCATTCGGGCACGGAAACAGTTAATGCCCACTGCCCACTGGAAGCACTGGTAGTACCGTAGTAAAGAGTGCGGAGAGTGAAGGGAGAGGGGAGGTAGTTAGCAGCAACTTAAAGCACCGACCTGCCCTCCCACTTACCACTCACAACCCACCTACACGCCTGTCATCCCACCACCATGCCTTCTCAACTAGGGGCTGGGAGGGACCTCTACCCTCCCCTGCACTCCCACCCCACTTCCTATCCACCATTCACCCACCTGCACGCGTATCACGGAAGCAACTGCGGCTATCCGCGGGTATGCAGTGGCATGCTATGCCCTCACTTGCACAGCCTGCTCCCACCATTCACCACCTACCTACACGCCTCCCCTCTCCTCCCCACCCACCTGCACGCCTATCATGGGAGCAGCTGCGGCTATCCGCGGGTCTGCTGCAGCCGCCAGCCATGCCACCATGCCTGGTGGGGGGAACAGGGAGGGGGAGGGACGGGGGACATACGGGAGGGAAGGGGTGGGTGTGATAAAGGGAGCAGGAGGGTTACAAGAGTGCAAGGGGCTATTCCCCTCTCACTCACTTGAACGCCTATCATGGGAGCAGCCACTGCTATCCAAGGGTCTGCTGCAGCCGCCAGCCATGCCACCATGCCTGGTGGTGGGGGGAAAGGGGGCACAGACACATGGATCAGATGCGACAAAATTACTAAGGTTACTTCCCTCCCACCCACCCACCCATCTGCACGCCGATCATGGGAGTGGGAGCAGCCGGAGCTAGGCAGTCACGCCGCAGAAGGGAGGACTCTATTTGTGAGGCGCCATAGGATAGGAAGAGGAAGGAACGCGCACCGCCAAGGGAGACGCCGGTGATGCCAATGCGCGAGGGGTCGATGGTGTCTGTCTTGGGACGTCTCAAAACACGTTTTCTTTCAGGTGAAAAAGCATGCATGCATACCGCCAAGGGAGACGCCGGTGATGCCGATGCGTGAGGGGTCGATGGTGTCCGTGTGAACAGCTGTGAGATAATCCATGAGGCGAAGCACATCCCACACCTGGTGAGTACGAGGAGCAGGCAGCGTGGGGGGGGGGGGGGGGGGGGGGGGAGAAAGGGGCGAGGCGGGAAATGAGAGGAACGGGCAGGAGTGGGCGAGAGGGGTCGATGGTGTCAGTGTGAGCAGCTGCCAGATAGTCCATGAGGTGAAGCATGTCTCAGGACTGCATGGCTTCAAACAGGAAGAGTGAGGAGGAACTAGTAGGAGTGGGTGAGAGTGGGCCTATGATGTTTGCTGTGAGAGAAGGTGAAATAGAGGTGAAGCACGTCCCGCACCTGGATGGATAGGGGCGAAAAGAGGGAGTGGAAAGGGAGGAGAATTGACAAGAGGAATGAGAGGAACAGTCACAAACGGGTGAGAGGCGTGTATGGTATCAATGTGAGTTGAATGGCCGTGAGATTGCATGTAGCAGAGAACCTATGGGTACAGTTTTTAGGAGCCTAAAAAAAGGAGACAGGGAAGTGACAATATTGGGTGTGGTGTGGCAATGCCATGAAAGGAAAAAATAAGCAGGAGTCTATAGCAGAGTGCGCAAGAGGCACCTGAACGGCTTCAACAAAGCACCTGATACGCAGGCAGAGGAAAAAACACCTGAAACGGCACCTGAAAGACAGCTGGCAAGTACCGGATCGAAAACGAATGGCATCTCTTGGCCTGTCCTCCACGCCCTGACCAGTGCCTGGCAGTGAGGGGTGATGGGGGAAGGACAGGAGAGCAAGAGGTGAAGGAGGAAGGGAAGGGAAGGGGGTAGAAGCAGGCAAGTACCGGATCAAGGCGGAATGGCATCTCCTGGCCTGTCCTCCACGCCCTGACCAACGCCTGGCAGTGAGGATTGGCGGAGGAAGGAGAGGGAAGCAAGAGATGAACAAGGAAGGGACGGAGGCGGAGCGGAAACAACACAAGTCCAAGCTGTGACACGAGAGTGTGATATTATTGAAGGTGAAAGCTTGGAATGATTGAGAGCTCGAAAGGAGCGACTCGGAAAAGAAATTTGGGGAGGGGAGAAGGGGAGGAGATAGGAAGACGGAAAAGTTGAACTGGGAGGGAGGTGGAGAGAAGCGGGGGACATGGGTTCAGCATACATCGGAGTATGCAGCAGGAGAGGACGCACAGGCGCCATGGTAGCGAAGGTCACATGTGATGGCGATGAGATTGAGACACGCCAACTCCTGCACGCAGAGAAGGGAGAGGAGAGAGAGAGAGGGGAGGAAACTGTCATGGCATATCATGCAATGAAAGAATGGGACTGGGAGGGGATGAGCGCCATGGTAGCGAAGGTCACATGTGATGGCAACTAGACTGAGACACGAGACTGCCATGGAGACGAAAGTGGGAAGGTGAGGGGAAAAGGGTAGGGAGTGGAGTGGGAAGAAAGTAGGAAGGGGAGGCAAGAGAGAGATTAAGAGGCACGGGCGCCATGGTAGCGAAGGTCACATGTGATGGAGATGAGATTGAGACGCGCCAGCTCCTGCACGCAAGCATTGGGGTGAGAGGGTTGAGAAACGGGACAGGGAGGACAGGGTGCGGGAGCGGAGGGGGGTGGTGGAGGGGTTGGTGTGTAGGGAGGGAATGGCAACTGGCATGGCACGGAGACATGAGAATGGAGCCACAACTCTTTCAAAAACGTCAAACACGGAGACTCTTTTCTCTTGCTCATGCTTTTTCAATTGTAATATACAGCAGATTTATGCTACTGGTTTGAGGACCGCGCACCTTCTGCTTCTCCAACAGAGCCTCTTTGCTCTTGCCCGTGCTGTGCAGTATAATCACTGCTGCTCTCCGGCCATGCCCTTCCACCTGCTCCTGCTGTGCATTGCTGTGCTCCGGTACAAGCAGACTCATTATAGTGACAGGCATGCGGCCCTGCTCGCCCTCCTGTTCCATGCACTCGTGCGTTCGTGGAGAAGAGAACGAGGGTCAGGGGAGGTAAGCAGGGAAGGAGGTTGGACGAGGTGGGAAAAAAGGAGACACGATGGTTGAAGGCAGCAGCAGGAGGAGAGGACATTGATGTGGGAAAAAGAGACACGAGGGTTGAAGGAAGCAGCAGGAGTGGACAGAGAGGTGGGAAAAAGGAGAGCAAAGAGGGAAAGAGAGGCATCATATCAGAAAACGGCTGCAAAAAACGGAGACACAAACAGGCGCAGGGGAAGCACATGCAAAGCCTGAGGCTTTGATTGATCAAGAAAGGCCTACTTTTAACAGACACATGCATTTCAAGCATCCGTTATAAGTGCAATAAGACACCTTCGCATGTGTTGCAATCACCCTCTGTGTCCTGTGCTGCGCTGGGTATGTACAGGTTGGTGGTGAGACGAGTGATACTCACCTGGTAGGAAAGAACAGGTGAGTACCACTCGTCTCACCACTAACCTGCACTCGCATGGCCTGCTCTCTCCCCAAGCGTTACCTCAGTAAGCAGATCAATCTCTTGACGAACAAGGATGTGGCCGTCTGGAAGGGAGGTGCGAGGGAGGTGAGGGTAAGGGAGGAGAGGAGAGAGTGCATGTGTGCAAGTGGATAACGGAATGCTGTTGCGAGAGATGAGGAGGAGGCGCAGAGAGGAGGGAAATGAGAGGGGACGAGAGAGGAGGGTAGAGAGAGGAGATGAGGGGAGATTTAGAGCATCATGCGATGCATGTGAGAAACGCAGGTGAGTGAGAAGCATCTCCTTTATGCATATATAAAGTCCTGCAATCACCCTTCCCACAATCACCCTTCCCACAATCACCCTTCCCAAAATCACCCTTCCCACAATCACCCTTTCCAAAAACACCCTTCCCACAGTCACCTTGCTATTATCAAACTTCCTAAAATCACCCTTCCCTGCAATAAACCTTCCCACAATCACCCCTCCTAAAATCACCCCTCCTAAAATCTCCCTTCCTACAATCACACCTGCCAGTGTCTCGCTGCTCTCCTGCCAGCTCGCCTCCTCAAATCCAGGAGCTGCATCCAATAGAGAAAGAGAGGGAGATGTGCCATGATGGCATGATGGTTTTGAGAAATAATTATTCAAGAAGCCAGTTTGAGCCATGTTATGGGGCAGTGAAGTAGATGTAGCCCATCATGCCGCATGATAAAAGTGTTGTTTTGAGACGTCTCAAAACTTTTATCTTATGGGGCAGTGTAGTAGATGTAGCCCATCATGCCTTCATGCGCGGATGAAAGGCATGAATGCCATCATTGCATGATGGGGTCATGGAACCGATTATATCTATAATTGGCTCAGAAACCAAGAAACCAGTTTGAGGCGTGGTATGGGGCAGGCAATGTGGCACTTGTAACCATCATGCCATCATGCATGCATGAAATGGTGTGAATGCCATCATTGCATGATGGGGAAGAGGTGGGACAATGCCTTATCTTAGTGCATCGGCTCAGAAACAATGACTCAAAAGTACGTACACCGTACACGGGACAATCTCGTCTTATGCGTTTTTTCGCGTCCAACTTTATCTTATGGTTCCCTTCTCTTTCCGTCCCTGTCCTCTTCTTCCTTCTCTGCCTCCCTTCCCTCCCTTTCTCCGCTCACTTCCTCCCAGCCCTTCCTCGAAACTTCCCCCGTGGATTTCTCGCATCTCACCCTCGAGCGGGCGTCGCCGGCTCTTCAACACGCGGAGCAGCTCTTCGCGGACCCACTCGAATCCTTCGCGAGCGTCGCCAATTTCGCCGGCCATGTTACTACCCTCCTCCCCGCACTCTACGCCGAGATTGCGGAACCGTGGTTGGGCCGAACACTACTAATATGCGGTCAGCAACTGCGGTATTGCTTGTTGAGTGAAAGTGTTTGATGGCTTCGGCGCCTTGGTTTACTGCGAAACCGAGCAGGTGGAGCCACATTCAAGTCGATTAAACGACGCGGACTTGGCTCGGCAGAGACATGCTGCAACGCCAATCTATTCTGCTTCAAGTTATGACTTAAAAGTCTATGAAGCCCGAGTGCACGAATCGCCCTATTCGCCTGCTTGAAGTGGTATGGCGGTGACGCAGCTGGAGAAGCGAAGGCATGGCGACGAGGGTGAATGACTCGCTTTGGTGAGATACGGGCTCTGTTACAAGGACTAGTGAGGCCATCCCGAGGGTCACGCGCCGAACCTGTTCGGCGTATTTCGTCGGCCGAACCACTCCCGAGTCGGCCTCCGCTCCAATCGCAACCATCACCGAGCCATCTTCGCCCTACCTCCCCGCCTAGCTAGCTTTTCCCCTATTTAGCCCTCGTCACTTTGTGTGTTCGATCATTCTGTAAGGGCGCGTTTCTAGCCCGTGTCAGACTCAGGTCAAAGCTTCGAAAGACACACAGTGACTCGGTTTGTGTCTTCCGAACCTAAATTTGCCAGCATTCCGAGTCCCTTTGGGTCTTCCCAGCCTCAAATTCGTGTCTGGCTTCGTGTTAACACGGGATAAAAACGCGCCCTGATTCTAATTCTCGTTATTCGTTTTACTGCGCACTCTGCAAGTTCATTCATAACATTAGGAGTGTTCTTCAAACAAAACAAACGTAAAATAGGATCTGGAAAAACCAAACGTAAAATTTTGAACATTCTCCAATTTATTATATGATAATATCATTTGCATAATTTAATTTACATAGTTTTAAAATCTTAAATATCAGATATTCAATTGCTCATACAATATTTGTATATGTGCACTTATCCACTTGAGCATACGTATCATATCAATCGTTTTGAATCACTTTGCTACACATATTCGTGTGGTCTCGCAATCTTTCCACTTTCTCCTGACGTGCATCTCGTCTGAATGGGCTTGGTCGGACCCACGGCATGCCGAACGGGGCGTGAAAAACGTCAAACCCACGATGTCCCATACCAGCAGGGAATCCGTGTGCTGCACCGTAGGAGATGCGATGTGCTGATACAGGTCGCTCAGTTGGCGGCTTTCCTTGATTGGTTACCCGCGATACCTATGCCACGGAGGAACTTATGAAGTGAACTTATCCACATAGAGTCGGCTACAGCATTCCACTACGACCCCACGACTTCAAGTCGTTTAGTACTGCCTGAGGGGGCCCTGCAGAGCGGCGGTGGTTAAAAACGGCAGGTCAGAAGGGCGTGGATCAAAGTTTTCGTGCATGAAACGAATCGGGCCTTCGTCGACGGTTACCACTTTGCAACACCTCGCGGTACGTGCAACTCAAGGTAGTGTTGGCGCGACGGTAGTTCGCGGGGCGAACCAGAGGCTGACTACGAAACTCGACGAACAAATCGCCGCACGGTTGATTTGGCGGACGAACTGCGAAACCACAAAACGTGCAACCCTGTCACACTCGCGAGAATGACAGTAAGATAGGGTCGGGTATGTCTGTGAGAAGAATTGAACGAGAATGAAATGAGTATGAACGAAGTGAGTACAAATAGGAAACCCTAATTGTGTTGTACCCCCTATGGGATACCCCACTATAGCCTACACAAACAAGTAAGCTACATGTTCTGACACACCCCCATAGGCAAAGTGGGGGAGAACAAGGGGTCACAAGGCCAGTCAAACAAAGCAAAGCAAAGCTCAGGGTGGATCACAAAGTCACCACGCATTCCGAGCACAAGTTCAAAGGCCACAAGGCCAGTTCACATGCAAGATCATATATAGAGGTATACAAGAGTCAAGCAAGCAAGAGCAAGAGTATATATATGCGAAGGTACAAGCAAGGTCAAGAGGAGAGCAAGTGAGGCAAGACAGACACAAGACCCAACTGCGTGCAGCAACGCTGATGATCACAAGGCGCAAGTGCCTTGGTGAAGACATCAGCAGTGTTGGCCTCAGAGGCCACGTACGCAAGTCGCAGCTGTCCACGCTGCTGTAGCTCACGAGCAAGAAAGTAGCGAAGAGCAATGTGCTTCGTTCTGTGCTCCAGTCGCTGCTCTCGACACAAGGCCAGCATGGCCTTGTTGTCTACGTACAGGACTGGAGGAGAACGAGGCTGCTCTCCAAGGTCGGTCAGCAGGTAGGTGAGCCAGCGTAACTCCTGTGCAGCCATAGCCCCAGCGTAGATCTCAGCCTCACAACTGGAGCCGAGAACAGAAGACGAGCGGGTAGCCCGCCACGAGACAGAGCCGGAACCAAGGCTGAAGGTGTAACCCTGTGACGACCGCTGCGTAGCCTGGTCGTCAGCCCAAGAAGCGTCTGCGTGCCCAGTGAGGACCACTGCACTGCGCCCTCCAAGCACTAGCCCCATGCCCGACGTACTGCACAAGTAGCGCAACACCCTCTTCGCTGCAGCCATGTGCTCTGGTCGGTGTCTCCCAGGAGCAACAAAGCGTGCGAGAATGCTAAGAGGGTATGCGAGGTCAGGTCGTGTGCAGGTCATCAGGTACATGAGGCAGCCAACAAGCTCTGCAAACGGGCCACTCGACTCTACGGACTCATCCGAAGGCAGAGCTGAGAGCGAGTGGCGAGTAGGCAGAGGAGTGGCCTGAGGCGAGGAGTACGTGAAGCCGAAGCGCTGAAGGACCTGCTGCACCATGTGTGACTGAGTCAGGGTAATGGTGCGGCGTGCTCTGTCCCGGGTGATCTGCAAGCCAAGGTAGCTGCGCAGTTCACCCAGGTCAGTGCACGTGTGTCTCTTCTGCAGCTCGGACTTCACGTAGGCGAGTCCAGCAGTGTCAGCTGTGGCAAAGACCAAGTCGTCGACGTACACGAGGATGTAGAACGGCGGCAGAGAGGTGTCGGTGCGGAGAAACAGCGACGGGTCGGCAGTAGAAGGAGCAAACCCAAGTGCCGCGAGCGTAGTCCTCAGTGTGTCGTGCCACTCACGTGGCGCCTGGCGGAGACCGTAGACTGGACGCCGGAGACTCCACTGGGTACCAGGAGGGAAAGACCCAGTGAAGCCAGGTGGGCGACGCAGCCAGATCTCCTCGTGCAGGCTGCCCTGCAAGAAAGCTGTGCTGAAGTCGAGAGAGTGCAGCTCGTAGTCACGGTGAGCAGCAACGTGCAGCAGGACCCGAAGAGTGGTCATCTTCGGGGTGGGGGAGAAGGTCTGAAAGTAGTCAACCCCCTGCCGCTGACTGAAGCCACGAGCCACGTAACGCGCCTTGAAGACAGGCGGAGAACCCGGCGGCCGCTTCACCCTGAAAATCCACATGCCACTGACGATGTTCGCCCCAGGAGGAGGAACAGCGTCAACGTAGGTGCCTGTGGACTTCCAGGAAGCCATCTCTGCATCCATAGCTGCCTGCCACTGAGAGGAGTAGGGACCCTCTATCGCCTCCGCGTAAGAGCGCGGAGTCGGGATGTCTGGTGCATCCGGGTCTCCCTCAGGGGCTAGCAGTACAGACGCGAGACGAGGTGAAGCGGCGGCCAGACACTGGAACTCCTCCTGCCTGTCCTCAAGGACGTCCGTGCCAAGGGCACACTCACCCCCGACGGACGGAGGACAGGCGGACTCAGACTCAGTGACAAGACGAGCAGCGTAGTCTAGACGACAGCGCGCAGCAAAGTCGACAAGCTCAGTGACAAGGGCAGACGCAGCAGACGACTCGAAGGAGGGGTCAGTGACAGCAGTAGCCAGGAGACGCGTGACAGTAGGACTGGCAGCACGAAGAGAGTCCGACTCCGGGTCGGCAAGAGCAGGAAGAGAGGAAGCAGGAGGAGAAGGCAAAGGGGCACGCAGAGGAGCAGTGGACGGACGCAGTGACATCCGGTGCGTGCCAG